TCGCATCTCTTTCTTGATGGCCTGAGGTGTCATGGGCCCACCGAGCTATCAATAATTCACCCTTATGTTGCCAGTCCAGATCCACCTGAGCCACTTCCATCCTAGCAGCCTGATCCACCTGCTGGTAGTTTCGATGTTCTTCAGTGGCCCAATTCTTGGGTACGTGAGCATCTACGTGGGGTACAACCAGGTTCTCTACCCGGGTAGCAGTATCTTGTCACAATGCAGCAGCCCAGATGGGTTTGCCTCTGTGCTGCCAGGTGATCTGCTTCCATTGCTGTAGCCACCCCCACAGGGCATTTGCCACCATCCATGAGTCAGTATAGAGATAGAGCACTGGCTGCTTTTCTCGGTCAGCAATGTCTAAAGCCAGCTGGATGGCCTTCACTTCTGCAAACTGGCTCAATTCACCTTCTCCTTCAGCAGTATCTGCAGCTTGCCCTGTAGGACTCCATACAGCAGCTTTCCATCTCTGGTGCTTTCCTATAATATGACAGGATCCATCAGTGAACAGAGGATATTGTTTTTCATTTTCTGGCAGTTTATTGTACAGTGGGGCCTCTTCAGCATGCATCACCTCCTCCTCTGGCGATATTCCAAAATCTTTGCCTTATGGCCAGTCCATGGCAAATGGTAAGACTGTGTTTCCACCCCTGGAGCAGTCGATTCCAGGTGTACTGGACGCCCCTCCAAGTGAAAGCAAATTCTGGCCTGCACTCTGCTGCCACAGGGATTGAGAAGAACGAGTTAGCAACATTAACTGTAGCATACCATTTGGATGTTTTTGACTCCAGTTCGTATTGAAGTTCTAGCATGTCTGGCAAGGCAACAGTCAGTGGTGGTGTGATTTCATTCAGGCCACAATAGTCTACTGTTAGTCTCCGCTCTCCATTCTACTTTTGCACTGGCCATATGGGACTGTTAAAGGGTGAGCAAGTCTTGCTGATCACTCCTTGGCTCTCCAGTCAACAAATCAGCTTATGGATAGGCATCAGGGAGTCTCAGTTGGTGCGATATTGCCACCAATGCACTGTTGTGGTAGCAATTGCCACCTGTTGTTCTTTGACCCTCAGCAACCACACAGCAGAAGGGTCCTCCAAGAGACTGGGCAAAGTTGACAGCTGTTTAATTTCCTCCGTCACCAAGGCAGCTATACCAAAAGCCCACCAGTACCCTTTTGGGTCCTTGAAATACCCTCTCCTTAGGTAGTCTATGCCAAGGATGCATGGAGCCTCTGGGCCAATCACAATGGAGTGCTTTTGCCACTCGTTCCCAGTTAGGCTTACTTCAGCCTCCAATACAGTTAGCTGTTGGGATCCCCCTGTCACTCCAGAAATACAGATGGGTTCTGCCCCTGTATAGCTTGACAGTATTGGGGTACACTATGCACTAGTGTCCACTAGAGCCTGTGGGTTTGATGTGCTAGGCCATTGAATCTACACGGTCCAGTAAACCCAACTGTCCCTTTCCTCCACTTGGCTGGAGGCAGGGCCCCTCTAGTGCTGGTCATAGTATACTGGTCATGGTTACTCACTTCTTGTAGATATGAGTCAGGATCATTAAGATCAGAAGTAAGATCAGCCCTTCTACTCTGTCTGGGGAACTGCCCACTGGAAACTGGAGCAGCAATTTTCCTGGAAGAACCCCCTTGTTTGATTGTTTTTCCTTGCAACTTATGTACCTGTGCCTCTAGGGTCGAGGTAGGTTTTTCCATCCCACTTCCTCATGTCCTCTCCATGGTCACGCAGGTAAAATCATAGGGTGCCCCGTGGTGTGTACCCTCTATATCCTCTCTCTTGAGCAGAACAACGTTGATTCCTAACAGCTGAGATACTGGTCTGTACAGGTGGAGAGTAGCACCTATCCTCTTTGAGTTTCTGGACCTTCCAGGACGGTTTCTCCACAGCCGAGATGAGGGAGGAAGAGATACTTTCTTCGTATTCCCAGAGTCAGCTAGCCGGTTCATCCACCATTGGCGCCTCTTCATCTTTCCAGGTCATTACTTCCAATGAGTTGGCATATGACGCTGCTGCGGTCCATACCAACTTCCGCCACATGGGCCATGTGCACCGGGCTTGATCTGGATCTTTGGATAACTGCTCGTTGTTCAGGTCACTATAAATCACCTCCAGCATGGCTCATTCCCTCAGGTACTGGATACCTCTTTCCATGGTGGTCCATTTGCCTGGGCGATGCATAACATCTTCATTGAAGGGATATCTTTCCTTCATACCTGGCAGGAGTCACCTCCAGAGGCTGAGGGCTTGTGCTCCTTTTCCAATTGTTTTGTCAATGCCCCCTTCCCTAGAAAGGGATCCCAGCCGTTTGCCTTCCCTACCCTGCAATTCCAGGCTACTGGCCCCATTATCCCAGCATCGGAGCCACCAAGTGACAATGTGTTCACCTGGATGACAGCTAAAATCTTTTCACAAACCTCACAGCTCACTCAAGGATAGGGATCAGGTGGTGTCTGTCTTGTTTACGAGTTCTTCCTCTTCCTCTTCCTCTCTTTGTGATGGTCCTGCTTTTTCATCATCCCTTTCTAAACAAGCTGACTTTTGCTTCCAATATTTCTTGTTGTGTATAGGGGCGACTGATACTGGCATGGGTTGGTTCCCTGGTTCAACTGCAGTGCCTGTCATGGGGGTTGGAGTAGCCGCAGTGCCTGTCACTTTGTCATCAGATCCAGAGACCTTTTCTTCCCCTTGAGGGTACTGAATAATGTTGAACACGGCCAGGCCCCAGCACGTTGCAGTGATTTGTGTCTCCCTAGAATTGCCAGGGTGACAGCATACTTTTTCCAAATATTCTACTAATTTTTCATGATTCTGCACTTGTTCAGGGGCGAAGTTCCAAAACACTGGAGGTGCCCACCATCCTAGGCATTTGCCCATGCTATCCCACACCCCCTGCCACTCATAACTATCCATCCCTGGGGCCCACCCCCCCCTGCCACTCATAACTATCCATCCCTGGGGCAGATCTCTGCATGATATTCTTAAATTGCTAATTAACCTTAGACAAAACTGAAACAATACTCCTAACAAATACCAATAGAAGTATCTTAACCGTCCAAGAATGTTCAAGATACTGAAAAATTATTGTAATAAAGGAGGAAACATCATAGAAGGAGGTAGTGAAGGTGCCATTCTGCATTTCCTCCATAAAAAACCTCTCAGAGGAAAAAGTGTAATTGCTAAATGTCTCTACAAGGTGGTACCCTAAGTACAGTAATGACATCAGTACAAAGCTTAAATACCAGATAAAGCTCAAGGTCAGTGTTTTAATAACAAATCTCCCAGGCAAAACATCACCAATCACTGCAGGGCACAGCAAACTGCAAAAACCAACACCAATCTTCAACATGTACAGCAAAAAAAAAGAGTGTGGTGCAGATAAGATAAACTAAGATCAAGAACAGATGAATAAATACCATGACCCGCAACTGTTAATAAATATAAATTCCTTAATAAGCCCTGGTTAATCTGTTATTATCTCAAACCCTTGGTTCCCCACATTGGGTGCCAAAAAGGATTGTTGTGGTTTAGCCCCAGTCTGCAACCAAGCACCACAGAGCCACTCGCTCACTCCCCCCAGTGGGATGGGGGAAAGAATTGGAAGGGTAAAAGTGAGAAAACTCATGGGTTGAAGAACAGTTTAATAATTGAAATATAATAGTAATGTAATGAAAAGGAAAACAACAAGAGAGAGAAACAAAACCCAGGAAAAATAAGTGATGCAACCACTTACCACCTGCTGACTGATGCTCAGCCAGTCCACAAGCAGTGATCACTGCCCCCTGGCCAGCTCTCCCCAGTTTATACACTAAGCATGACAGCATACGGTATGGAATAGCCCCTTTGGCCAGTTTGGGTCAGCTGTCTTGGCTGTACCCCCTCCCAGCTTCTTGTGCACCTGGCAGAGCATGGGAAGCTGAAAAGTCCTTGACTAGTGTAAGCAGTACTTAGCAACAACCAAAACATCAGGGTGTTATCAACATTATTCTCATACTAAATCCAAAACACAGCACTATGCCAGCTACTAGGAAGAAAACTGACTCTATCCCAACTGAAACCAGGACAAGGGGGAATGAGGTTTTTGGTGTTTCCCATTGCTTCACTGCAATGAAGCCCATGTCACTTCTGTCTCTAAAATGCACCCTAACAGGGTGGTGCACGTAAGAAAGATACCCAAATTTTATCAGTCTTTGTTCATCTTAGCTCCATTTCCACTACTATGCAAAAATCTTTTGTGGTTTCCCTTCTCCTTTAGTGCCCTTTCTCTTCTGATTTTAAAATGTAAACTTAAGGATCAAAGAGACTGCTCACAGTCCATGCACACAGGTTAGCATGCTCCTATATTGTTCTGTGAAATATCTTTTTCTTTCTGCTTGTGTAGTCAATTTTTTTTTTGTCTCAATGACAGCAAAACTTTGATTTTTAACTAGCCTGATATGACTCAGTGGAAGCAATGTAGAGGGAAGTCTTTTCTCAATGTCATTTCATAGACTGTTAATTTGCTATCATTGAAAATAACTTTCAGTCCTAGTTTGTTACTTCTTTCATGAATCCTAGAGTTCGCAATAAATTTGTGTCTTGAAGCAATGAATTCTAGATGCATTGGTTTGCTTTTTCTATATTGGTGGAGCCAGGCTTTTATGCTTGGATGTTAACATAATGGATTTTGAACATGGCTGTTCCCTATGACTTTGTCATAACTTAGGTGCTTAGAACTTGATTATTAATCAGAAGTATCTCATATCTTCTAAAAGTTTTTGACATAACTTTCACTATTTTGTTCTTGGCTGTATGATTATTGTCATTGTATATAACGGCAAGAAACAAACAGGTTTTTTGTATCCTTTTGCTGGAAGTGAGTAGGTATTTACATAGTCTCCATCATTAGCAAAGATTTAAATGTCAGTAGCATGTGCAAATACCTGTATTAAGAATAATTTATTTCTTATGTGGTTTTTTTGTTTCTTTTCTTTCTTCCAATAGAAAGCCATTTCATCTCCAACTGTATCGCGCCTTACAGATACATCAAAATTCACGGGTTCTCACAAAGAGAGGTTTGATCCCAGTGGGAAAGGAAAAGGCAAAGCTGGCCGAGAAGATCTGGTGGATGCTTCAGGATATGTATCTGGCTATAAGCATGCAGGCACATACGATCATAAAGTACAAGGAAGCAAGTAAGGCTGAGGGTTTACAACACAGAGGGAGAAAGAGAGGGGGAAAGAGAATATATTTGTAAGAATGATGTAGATGAATCCCACATGTTTTGGTTATTGTGAATGCTAAGACTATGTTGTCAAGAAGTTGTTTTCAGGAACTGGAACTGATTTCAACATCTGCTGAGCTACTTGCAGCACAATGCCACTTCATTACATTCCTCATGCGTATATTGGCAAGAACAAATATATCGGTACAAAAAATACATGATTTTGTTGAGTTTTAGGCAAAAAAAAGTCAAGAGCAGTTATACCACACTTTGTCAATTCAAGCAAAAGATCTCAAACATTCCTAAATGTCCAGTTGCCCTGAGGATGTTGAAGAGAACCTCTTGAAAAGAGGGGTCTTTCCTAGCAGACTTTCTGAAGAATATCCCATTATTTATGCAGTTTGATTTGACTACTGTTTTGGGGCTTTTTTAAAATGTCTTATACAGGATCTGGCACTTTCCTTAAAACATTCAACAATATACTATTGGGGAGTAAGTGGTTGTAATATACAAGGTGCTAGCCTGTAAATGTCATACACCACTCATGAAAAACTGAAAAAAAGCTATTTTGAGGACAATATAGGTTTTAAAGTATTTTATGTCAACAGAAAGAGGTGGAAAATACCAGCCCTTACTTTCCTCCTGTCTATACTTTGTGTGCTTGTTACTGTGTGTACTGTAGCATGGTTCTGACTGGCTGGGTTTGGATGGAGCTGTTGTACTAACCTAAGAGGTGAGGATCGAGACATTACTAAGAAAGTCTATTAAAGCTTTTTGCATTCTGTTTTCAAGTTTGCACTGCCTCACATTTGAAATGAAGGGGGCATTAAGCTAATTATGCTTTAAAATATTGATTATGACTAAACACTGCCAATCAGATTGCTGTTAAGTGAATGTTATTATGCACATGCATTGGCACATATTCCCTTTAAGCTATAACACATAAGGCAACTTTACGGCCCCCTCGAATAAGGACACTTATAATTAATATCCATGTAATTAGTTGCAATTTTCTCACAAAAATATACTATTATAACTGGACTACATTTTATATTGGATTTGTTTGAAGCCAAGGGATTTGATTCTCTGTTCATTTTTGCTGCCTAACGTGGGAGTAATGGTATTGATGGGAATGGCTTTCCACTGCTATAGAAGGAGAACCAATTCCACAGGCGTAAGGTATAGGCAGCTGAGTGTGACCTGTATGGGGCCCAGAATACCAAAACAACTTGATAGGAATAAAAATAACTCATTTTTTGTATTGGTTAAAAAGGAGAGAAAAGACTGGTCCAATTTTCCACAGGAGCTGAACAAGTACACTAATGTATTACTCTGCTTCTCTAAAATTATGAAAGATAAGATTTTCAGTATTCAAAAACAGCTGCTAGTAGTTCTGCTTTGCTTGCTTTCAAAAAGAGCTCATGCACTCGTTTTCATGTTCAACTCTGAATAAAGGTTAATAAATTTGTTGCTCTCCTCCCACCTGTATCAGCATCCCACTCAGAGTACATAAAATTTAGTGAGCAGTGTGTGCTGTCGTGTGCCATGCAGGTCAACAGTCTGTATTTGGCCAATGTCTGGAAACAGAGCACTGGTTTTCAGCCCTTAAACAGCTCATGTTTTGTTTTTCTGACATTGAATGGTAGCCTTTCTTGTAACTTTGTCTCCAATGACTGAGCCCAAACATCAGCCTGAAACCAAAACAACAATAGCGAACAAAGGCAAGGACTTCCTTGTGGACTTGGAGATTTTTTTGTTTGTTTATAATTTGTTTTGGGTTTTGTTTTAAGAGGGAGGGAAGTTTGCCAAAACTCAGCACATGATCTTGTAAAGATTTAAATGGCTTTTCCCATGGTTGGCTCTAGTTACCTGGGAAGATTTCTGATGTATGTAAGGATGCTCAGGGTGAGAATCATCCAGTTTTGTGAATCCTTTCCAAGAGTAACCCATTGTTCTTGAAGAAAAATTTCCATGGAATGAAGGATTATCCTCTCCTGTGTTGCGCTGGTGACCCGTCACACTCTGAGGCAGGAAATAGCATACCATGATACCAACAATGGCTAAATTATTCCAGCATGGTAGCGAACTGTCTAGATGTAGGGAACCTTCTTCTACGTCACTGGTGCCTGTGCACCTGAAGAAGGCTCCAGGATAGTCGTGTTTTTTATGAATAAAAAGGCTAAGCCTCTAACCCTTGATAAATCTTTCAGCTAAGTTACAGGCAAACCCAGTGTCCCTGTTCTTCCCATTGACTTTAAGTCTTGACTCATAACTCATTGGTAACTGAAAAGATCTGGACCCAGCCTGAATGAAGGGTGAAGTCCAGTCTACTGCAGAGCCCTTTCAGCATGCTCTGCTAGCTAGCTGCCTTGTCTGGCACATCAGGGGATACTTAACCTGAGGTGCACAAGTGACAGGGTTTCTCAAGTACCCAAATACTGAGTGTCAGTAATGCCAGACTGTTGCTACATAGGAGTGATTGGTTAGGAAAGTTTTAAGGTATAATTAGGTTTTAAGTTGCTAGTTCACAGTGTGAGAGAGACCAGCACACTCACAAGATAGAAGGCATGCAAAGGAATTGAGAATGCGGACAGATCCAAGCTGACAGTGACTAGAAATTGAACTGCTCTGTTGCTTAGAAGAGGCTGATGGAACTAGCTGTGGTTCTGCCAGAGTTTACTTTGCATTACTTGTACAGTATAAAAGCCCTGCCATGAACCAAAGCACTTTGTATGGACCTGATGCAAAATTATTTTAAATACTTTCAATGGCGTCGTAAGCTTTTGATCAGGACCTGAGAAGATGCTTCAGATAGCAGTATTTTATTTTGAGGAACACACTTGTTTGTTTCTTCTTTGTTTCTACAGTTGGATAGTTTTAAAACTCAAATCAAAGAGATGCATGATAAGAAGTCATTCTGATATGACAGTGGCAAAGGGAAGTTGTGGCTGGAAAGATAGTACTTTGCAAAGATTTTTCCCTTTTACTACACTTGCTGTGGAAGGTAAGGGCTATGAATAAAAGCAGTGTATGCAGCTGTGCATTAGGGGTAGAGCCACCTACTTAAGCTCTTACTTTTCCACCAATATCTGTAGGAAATTAAAAGCCTAAATACTAGCTTGAATGTTAGCCATAAGTTCCAGGCCTGCTTGGGAATGAGGCGAAGTACATTTTCTTTTTCATCTGCCATTCCGTCAACTCTCAGGAAAGCAAGTACAGCTGGGTCCTCAGAGATGAGGGGAAGAGATAGCTCAGGGGGTGCAGGAGACGACCCATTTTCAACCCTTGAGGTGTTGTAGAGCATATGCTCTTCCTATGCACCATACTCCAAACTGTAACTAAATGTCATGTCTGAAGTAAGGACATGGGTACCTAGTAAGGTTTACACTCATCTCCTTTTTTTGGGCTTCTCAACTCATTCCATCTAACTTTTCAGTCTGATTTTCAGCATCTTATACTATGCAGCACTCTTCTATGCGACATCTTCTATAAAATGCTTTCATTACTGCTGAACATGCTACCAAAAGGTAGCTTTTAGCAATAACTGCCTTAAAAAACAAACTCAAATTATACTGTTCATTTAAAATTAAACCCTTAAATATTATGGCAGTACACAATCTTTTCTGTATCTCCACTGAGGCTTAACCTGACCATCAAAGCCTTTGCAAGACTGAGGACAATAAAAAAAAATCCTTACTGAGGCAAAAGAATAGTCCTTACATTACATTTTTGAAATATAACATAGTTTTAAAATAAAATATGCAGAATTCAAATGGGTTTTCTTATCAGTGCTTGCTTACTAATTCTCTCTAGTCACTCCATGTGCTTTAGTTACTTGTTGAGAGTTTTTCGACAACCTTATCAACATGTAAATATCAGAAACAAAAACTATTGTCCTGCTTTTTGTGGGTATCAAAGCTATCACAATAATGTTACTGAGAAGCAGACATTAAAAAACATACATTGTTTCAACACTCCTATGTGAACAGTTGTCATTAATTGTAATCAAATATTTGGAATCCCAAAGGAAATGTTGAACATTGGACAGTGGCCAAGATCTACCCACTTTTTTTTTTTTGTTAAACCTACAGTATTTCTTATCTCTTTTTCTCTTTAGAGAAGGGAAAGGGAGATTTCAAAACTACTCACATGTCACAACTTACATTTTTCATTCAGCACAGAGATTGTCCTTCAAAGATATTTTGAAGTATGATATTTTCCATGTATTTTACTGGCCTTACCTAAATTAAAAATTCCTCTGACAACTTTTTGGCATTATAGAAAGCTTTGTTCATGAATTAGCATTTCAGTCACCCATATTTTCCCTCTATTGGCTCAATTAATATTTTTTATGGTAGCTGGAATTAGCCAGACCTAAAAGAGAAATGACTGCTGTGGGTTTGGCTTGCAAGTGATAGGTATCCCAGCCATGAGTAACCATCTGTAGAGAAAATCCTCATATATCTTTCTCCAAAATCAAAAATTTAAAGTTGTGATTGATAGGTTTTTTCCTTAAGGCTTGTCATAGTTATAAAATAAATTTTAATTCTTGTGCCTGCATGTATGATATTCAAAACATAACCCTGCCTTTCAGTGATGCATGTATTCTGGGGGCATGTGCCTGTCATCCATGAATTCTCTGTTTGCACTGGCCAAGAAACAAACCTTTTACCGTCATGATAGAGCAAATGTAATGTGTTGCACTAGTATGCGTCCTCTTAACTGACTGTTAGCCTTGCGTATGTGCCAAAATAACTACACCTTTGTGTACCTTGTTTGCAGTATGAATACACATAATGTTCTTGGCTCATCTGTTAATTGGTAATAAGTAATGCAATACACAAGATTTGTACAGGTTTGTGTGTGCGTACACATACTTTTTGGATCCAGCTAAGTGATTAAACCATATAGATGTTGATCCAAATCTTAGATCTGATTAGGGCCAAACTCTAGTCCTGCAGCCAATGCTGT